GGAATTAACTGACATCTACCGAGTATTTCACCCTAAAACAACACAGTACACAGAACAATGTTTGCTATGACCCTCTTTCAAAGTGAGTAATTGATCCCACCCCTGGGAATGAATGGTGTTAGGTCCTGATTTAGTAACCTGAAGTTAACCATCTTTTATGAGGCATAAAACTCTTCCTCAGTACATAACACTAATGAGATGTTTGTAGGAAAACTGACACCAACAGCGATGGAACAAACATCCGGTGTCACCTGTAAGCACCCATTTGGGGAGGGGGGGTGACTATATAAAGGTCCCAGGAGGGAAGAAGCAGCCTTGGGAGTCAAGGCCACCAGAGGAAGCAGCCGGCGTCTGTGATTCGCTCATCAGAGGATGGCTTCGGATGATGCCCCCTGGGGTTGCTCTGCAGAGTCCTGTGTCCAGGCTGCCCCTAATGCCCATCTTTCATCCAGATGTCAGACTCCGAGCTTCATCTGCAGGTCTCACTTGACCACCGGGTGCCTGACACCCTGCTACTATGCAGGGACTTGTCACAGCCCCTGCCTGGTAGGGAACTGCACTTGGTGTGAGGAGGGGACGTTCAACAGCAACGAGAAGGAAACCATGCAGTTCCTGAATGACAGACTCGCCAGCTACCTGGAGAAGGTACGCAGCCTGGAGGAGGCCAATGAGGAGCTGGAGTGCAGGATCCAAGAGCAGTGTGAGCCCGAGGCCCCAGTGGTGTGCCCGGATTACCAGTGCTACTTTGACACCATCGAAGAGCTCCAACAAAAGGTTCTGTGTCTCACTTCTTTACTTACTCCACCTTCCCCATCTCTGAGATCCTCCCCCTTCACACCAGGAGAGGCTGCTCTGTAGACCTAAGCCAAGGGAAAGAGGAGATTCCAAGAGCTAAGGTCCTAGACAGGAGAGGGCACTGGAGTAAAGCTCCACTGATGACTGAGTGACTATTAAAAAGCCGCTCATCTGTGTATCTTTTCACCCAAAGAAGGGAAGAAAACTCTATTATTATATCTAAAATCACCTCTATATGTAACACTGCATATTTATATTCTTTTCTCATACAAATATTGAATGTTATCGTTTTTTTTACTTCATCTAGTAATTCTTTTACTTTATTTATTTTTAAAATTTTTTGTGTCAGTACTGGGGCTTGAACTCAGGGCCTAGGTGTTGTCCCTTAGCTTTTTTGCTCAAAGCTAACACTCTATCAGTTAAGCTATACCTCCGCTTATAGCTATTTAATAGTTAATTGGAGAAAAGAGTCTCACAAATTTTCCTGCCAAAGCTGACTTCCAACTGTAATCCTGAAGATCTCAGCCTCCTGAGTATTTTGGATTACAGGCGTGAACACTAGGGCAAGGCCTAATTATTTTCTTATTATACTTATCATTTTCTATTAGCATGCATGGGATATAGTTGTAACACAAACCATTAGTGGGAAAAAAATTTTACACTATCCAACTGCCAAAGAACATTGCAAAAGTATTTTATACCATTTAAAAACTAAGCCTTTTGTTTCTATATTTTGTTTCTAAATTGGCACTGTGGGTTGTTGGTTTTTTTTACCCTTCATGAAGCAACATAGTTAACTAGAACAGCATGCTAAAAATAATTTTGTATTTTCTTACAAAGGTTTTTATAAGGTACCTAATGGCATAGCTTTAAAGGCTTAGATTTTTAGTTTTTTTAAAAGAATGGTGTATTTACATAGTAACTTATCTCTCAGATCTTATGCACAAAGGCAGAGAATTCTAGACTCGCTGTTCAGCTTGACAACTGCAAACTCGCTGCTGATGACTTTAGGTCAAAGTAAGTATTATTTACTTTAAAATAATTTATGTTTATGAAAAGAATGTTTCTCACACACACACAATCACACACAGACACACACCCCAAATATTCTCTACATAACTTTTTTTTTGTGCCGATACTGGGAGTCTGGGTGCTGTCCGTTAGCTTTTATGCTCAAGGTAAAGGCTGGCACTCTACCACTTGAGTCATACCAATTACATAACATTTTAACTGAAAATTCTTGGGGAGGGGGACCCTGAAATGAACATTTTTTAAGTATGTCAAGGAAACTGTGACATGTGGCTCCCTGAGCCCACATATCACTCACCAGTGCCCTCCCCCTCCCCCAGCACTCTGTCTAGCAAAGTAAGTACTGTCTGTCTCTCTTGCCATGAAAGGTATGAGAGTGAGTTGTCACTTCGCCAGCTGGTAGAGTCGGACATCAGTGGCCTGCGTGGGATCCTGAGTGAGCTGACCCTGTGCAAAGCTGATCTGGAGGCCCACGTGGAGTCTCTGAAAGATGATCTCCTTTGCCTTAAGGAAAGCCACGAAGAGGTGAGCCAAGGGGCCAGGTACCTAAGGAGGGTAAGAATGAGAGAGTTTAGCTGGTCCATTTTGTATGTGTAGATTGGACCTGGGCGGGTGTTGCTGCAGCTGGAGTAACCCTCCTCTAGGCCCTACACAGCCTGACCATTCCTCATCTCTGAAGGCAGCTGTGATGCACATTGCACGTTATTGTATGTGCCATGACCCGGGCCAGGGCAGAGAAAGAAGCCACATTCTGCCCCTGCCATGGCAGGGAGGGGTGAGTAACTCCAGGAATGGCTGTGCTTGGTTTATTTTTTGCCACTTGTAAGTCTTATCCACAGAGTGTAAAAACTGAGCCAATGCACACAGACAGTGAAGTCCACTTGAAAAAGAAAATAAAGATTTAAGCAATATTTGGGGCCCTTGCTTTTAAATATTCTGCATTTTGTAGTCATTTTTTAGAATTATACAAACATTAAGTATACAGTTATCCCACATTGAGGAAACTGGAAAATAAAAAAACCGTAGGTATATTTATAAATTGAGTATGTGAAGTACATTTATACATTCAAATAATGTATATTTTCTCCTTGAGCAGTGATTGAGGAAAATAAAAGCTAAGCCTATTAATATCTTAGTGTCAGGACTTTTGGAAGTTTTGGTTTTTGGTTTTTGCTTTTGTTCTGTTAATGCCAGTACTAGGGCTTGAACTCAGGGCCTGAGCACTATTCTTGGTCTTTTCTACTTAAGGATGGTGCTTTACTGCTTCAGCCACAGCTGTATTTCTGGCTTTTTGCTGGTTGATTGGAGATAAGATTCTCATGGATTTTCCTGCTTGAGATGTTTTCAAACCGTGAACCTTGGGTCTCAGCCTATTGAGTAGCTAGGATTATAGAGATGAGCCACAATGCCCAGTTATGTTCTTTACATTTATTTTTACTATTCTATACCTTACAAGAGCCCTCTAAGAAAGGTACAATTATTTTTCCCATTTCACAGATGAAGAAACTGACAATCTTCTCAGTGGTGAAATGAGGTTTAGCCTGAGCAATCTGAATCACTTCCCTATGTTCACCCACTGTTCTCTCAAAACACAAAATGAGATGTTGTTGGTTGTCACACTGATATTTTCCCCTCCCCAGTGTGATGTTCTGCACTCCATTTCCCTTCTCAGGAGGTCAACGTGCTTCGTGATCAGCTTGGGGACCGACTCAGCGTGGAGCTGGACACTGCCCCCACCATGGACCTCAACAAGGTCCTGGAGGAGATGCGATGTCAGTATGAAACGTTGCTGGCCAACAACCGCAGGGATGCAGAAGAATGGTTCGCTGCTCAGGTAAGCAACAGCAAAAAGGAGGACAGGCTTCAGGATCTGCACCATCCCCAAGACCTCTAATGAACCCTGTGTTTCAGACAGAAGAACTGAATCAGCAGCAGTTATCCAGTGCTGAGCAGCTGCAGGGCTGCCAGACGGAGATGCTGGAGCTGAAGCGTACGGCCAACACCCTGGAAATTGAGCTCCAGGCACAGCAAAACCTGGTGCGTCAAGCAAATACAGGTTCCACTTGACCACCCAACACACCAAGACTCACAGTTCATGGGGACAGGTTTGGATTTCCAAGTTACATAGGTGATATTTTGTTGTCTTTCCTAAGTTATCGACAGATCCACAACTTATCATGTCCCACTGGGGTGCCTCTCCTTCCCTCCTGGTGCTGGGCATGATCCTGAAACACGCCAGAGACAGGAAAGGGAGCAAGGCAAAGTGAGAGAGCAGTCTCTCGGGCACAATACTGGTCTTAACTCTCTTTCTATCGTGAGCAGTCTTCCAGGCTTTCCATTACACCTAAAACAAAAAAAATGTATTCAAACATTTTACACTACAACTATCAAAGTTTCCAGGGACATATATCACAACCAGACCCTTTACTGTTCCCTGCTACACACAGAGATCAAGAATCATAGAGTTGAGGTCAGGCACAGTGGTATGGGCCATATTGAATCCTAGAACTCCTAAATGAAGAATAGCTGAACATTCGCCTTAGAAGACACACAATTCAATTCAAATCCCACAGTAACTTTAGAAGGTGGGCACCTTTGCTAACATTATTTCACACACAGGACTCAGGTTAAGTAATTGATACATGGTCCTGTAATTGTAAGAAGTACAGTAGAAGCTGAATCTAAATTCTCCAAAACCTCATCACTTACAACTAGACCATCCTGCCATTGCCTGCCAGAAACACAGACTTGGGTTCCTCCCAAATGCAGTAAGTCTTTAAGCTACACAAGTAAGTGATAGATAACCATAAATATATTGCTGAAGCTAACAGATGGCCATGTGTACAGTACCTCAGAATTTTCCAGGTACTGTTCTAAGTGCTCTCCAAATATTTATGCATTTAATACTATGAGATGGGAACTTTGTACCCCCAGTAAATGTAGAATAAAAATGAATCCCAGAGAAGCTGAGTCACTTTCCTAAGTTCACAGAGCTAGAAAGCTCCAGTCAGGGTTTGAAAACTGGCCAACTAGACATACAGGCTATGCTGCAGGTTTGTCAGACAATGTCTTCCTCTTATAGACCAAATCTCTGGAATGTACGGTGGCAGAAACCGAGGCCCAGTACGGCACCCAGCTGGCCCAGATGCAATGTCTGATTGATGGTGTGGAGAACCAGCTGGCTGAAATCCGCTGTGACCTGGAGAGGCAGAACCAGGAATATGAGGTACTGCTGGACACAAAAGCCCGGCTTGAGTGTGAGATCAACACATATCGAGGCCTGCTGGACAGCGAGGACAGCAGGCAAGTTCCACAAGTGTTTATGAAAACTCAATGAAGGGCTGATGTAGGAGAATCCTGTTTCCCCAAGATCTACCCAAGGTCAAACCTCCCTAATGTGTTGAGGAAATATATATATATATATATATATATATATGTGTGTGTGTGTGTGTGTGTGTGTGTGTGTGTGTGTGTGTATGTATATACATATATATTTTAAAGGAAAGACAAAGGGTACAGTGGCTCATGTCTGTACTCCTAGCTACGTAGGAGGCAGAGATTGGAGGATCACAGTTTGAGGCTCCCATCTTTATCAATAACCTGGGTGTGGTAGTAGATGCCACTTATACTGAATGTATAAAGAGGTAAATCAAAGATCAGGCCATCCTGAAAAAAAAAGTGCAAGACCTTATTAGAAAAATAACTAAAATATAAAAGGGCTGGGAGGGTGACTTAAGGGGTTGAGTGTTTGCCTAGCAAATGCAAAGCCTGAAGTGAAAACCCTGATACTACAACAACAAATTTTTCTTTTTGCAAATAGATTATTTGCAACTATGGAAAAATTTAATAGAGAGAAAGTGGCTGAGACTTAGCACATGACAATGGAAAAGTTCTAAGACTTTGGAAGTCCTATAGCAGAAACATTTCCATCTTTAACATGTCATGCTTCTGGTATGTTTTTCCTCTTAATGTCCACCAAAGAGGAATCAGGCCACGACTGAGCTGATTCTTTATGAGATGAAGAAGATATCGGCAGTATTCATAGCCACTGCTCCAGTGCACCAGTGCACCTGAAATGCTATTCTGAGTCTAGAAAACGAAATGAGGCTTAAGTCCGATTTTTTGGCAGAATTTTCTGCAGAATATAATTTGTGGGTTAAAGCTAATATTCTGTGTTGGCATTTTACCAAGATGACTTTATTAAGCTGAATCTCAAATTGATTCCTCCCCCCAGGCTTGCCAGTAACCCATGCTCTACTACCTCCATGTCAAGTAACACTTGTGAGCCATGCACAGCCTATGTGATTTGCACAGTAGAAAACTGTTGTGCATGAAGACTGCACCACCAGCACCATCAGTGTCCTAGGCACAGATGGGGCTTCCAGAAAGGACATCCAAACCGGAAACACAAGTCCTTTAGCTTCCACACCCTACCATTCTTCTCCTCTAGTCATCTGAGCATATTGATCCTCTCCTCTTCTCCAAGCTCATTTGTGGAATTCTGGGTTCCCATAAAACTTGCTTACTGATCTCCAAATAAAAACCAAAATATTTCATTCATTTATCATATAAATACAGTCCTGTGGCTCATTGCCCTTGAACTAATAATAGCTAATTAGCCAGGCACAGGTGACTCATACCTGTAATCCTAGCTATTCACGAGGCTGAGCTCTGAAGATCAAGGTTCTAAGCCAGTCTGGAGAGGGAAATATGTAAGACTCATCTCCAATTAACCAGAAAAAAAAAGGTGGAAGAAGAGAAGAGAAGGAAAAGGAAGGGAAGAGAAGAGAAGAGAAGAGAGAAGAAACAAGAAGAAATAAAAGTCAATTAATGGCAGGGGAGTTTTCTAAATCCAATGCTGTGATCTGAATTTAAAAAAAAACAGGATTAAAGTACTTTTAATTCCTCAAATACAGATAGATTCATGAATCCATGCAAAATACTGTGTATCATAGAAGATAATTGCATGTACTTCTCAAAGAAAATTTAGAAATAAAACATAGTACAATTATATTTACTATTTTAATCATAGAAGTATTAGGTTCTCTGTTTCAAATTTGGCATATTGGAGGGCAAATAATCCTTATAATTCTATCTCTTAAACTCTTATGAATATTTTAGGCAACTTCCAGTTTTCACTCTTGGAACTGATTTTCCACATGGTTGTAATCATGCTTACATATGCAAATAGTTGTATTTTTTTTCACTTATGTCACTTAAGAATTTTCACACCTAATAAAAACAAACCACTGTCTATTAAGTCTGGGGGCATTCTAGCTGGCATGTGGATTGTAAAAGAAAAAGAGTCAAAGTAGCAGACAAGGAATGCCCTCTGAGATTTGAGGAAATTCTTGGCTGTGAGCCCCTGTGATATCCAAAAAGAAAATTATCTACTTCTCACATACAATGAGAGACATGGGCAAACATGCCCACTCCAGAAGGGAGGTATAGGGGCATGGAAAAGAAAGATCAAACTAAAGAAAGACCCAAATCTAGCAAACACGAAATCCTGTAGCTCTGTGTCCAGCACTCCTGGCACACAGTGGCAGGACACAACCTCCACTGGGCTTGGGAAACCCCTTAAAGCCTTGCCAATTATAGCCCTTGCAACCTTCTTGTCTACCTCCCCACCTGCCTATGGCTTTCCTCGAATGTTCCTCATTTCTGGTTTCTCTAGCTTCCTGGAATTTCCATTGCCTTTTTGGCTTCACCCTCACAGCTCCATGGCCCACCTTCTCAGGGACTTGCCTTCCAGGGACCCTGACCCTACCACACAATGCCTAGTCTCTTTGCCTTTCTTTGACATGAGTGGATGTCTCCACGACTCTGGCATTCTTCATGCCTGCAAGACCAGCATCACGTGAATGATGCTACAGTCTCCCAACTCAAGCAGTGCCCAGGCTCTCCCCACCCCACCCCGCCCTGGGACCACAGCTGCAGCAGCTTCTGTGGCTGAATGTGATGAAATAAATTCTGTGGAAACCATTTTCTAGGTGTCCCTGTGCAAGCAAGGTAGCCTAGTGGCACTCTGAGCTTAAGGGAAAGTCATTTAGAAGAGCCTCTTTTACACCCTGAACCTGTAATGGGTGGGCCAGTCAAATCCTGAGATGTGCTCAAGGCATCTTCTCTAATCTCTAGTTCTATTGACTTTTTCTTCTCCTCCTCCCACTCTCCTTCCTCTTCCTCTTTCTCCTTTCATTTTTGTTTTTGGGTTTTGTTTTGTTGGGTTTTTTAATTTTATTTTTTTAAGGCAGCATCTCACTATGTAAGTCAGGTAGACTTGAACTCTTTAGTAGCCCAGGCTGGCCTGAATGAGATACTGCCTCCATCTGCTGAGTGCTGAGATTACATGCATGAGCCACCACATTCATACTGGCATGCCTTCTTTTTAATAACACTAATCTCTTTAACCATGCCATCCCTGTCTGCAACTTAAATGTGCTCTTTTTCTAGGCAAACTATGAGCTTTTCAACTCCTTTACCTCTTCTTCCCACCTCCACCCCCCCCCCAATTCTCACTACAAAGTTGGCTCAAAGAAGACAATAAGGCTGGGCATGGTGGTATACTGCTGTAATCCCAGCTATATTAGAAGGCTTGATGGGAGGACCAGAAAAGCAACACAACTGTAAGTAGTAGGATTAACTGTAATATATCCAAATTGAAACAACCAGTGTGTCCTCGGGACCTCAAGGCCATTATTTTGAGTGAAAAGGGACAATTTCAAAGGTCACATGCTGTACACAAAACTATTTTCAATGACATTCTTAAAATGGCAAAATTGTGCCGGGGGCTGGTGGCTCATGCCTGTAATCCTAGCTACTCAGGAGGCTGAGATTTGAGGACCTCGGTTCAAAGCCAGCCCAGGCAGCAAAGTCTGTGAGACTCATATCTCAAAAACAGGAAATGGCGCTGTGGCTCAAGTGGTAGAGTGCTAGCCTTGAGCTGAAGAGTGCAGGGACAGTGCCCAGGCCCAGAGTTCAAGCACTACAACCGACAACAACAACAAAAAAAGGCAAAATTGTAAAAACAGAGAACAAATTAAACATAGATGGGGGTAGATCTGTGTGGAAACTGAAGTCCACAGCTTGATTGCCCTGAATCTATACACACACACACACACACACACACACACATTCATACACTCACATGGGTACACACACATGTTTCAACATCAAATTCCTACAATTACAATTATACTCCTGTTGAGCATGATGAAACTATGGGAAGAAACTAGAGTACTCAGAAACCTTTGACTTCACAAGTTTGACTGACTGTTCATTTACAATTATTTCAAAATTCTAAATGCCTTTATCAAAACTGAGTAGAAAACTAGAGCAACGTTCTTGTGTTTATGTTCCTGTTTCTATCTTTTAAGCACTTAGCAAAAAGGAAGGGGCACAATCATAATGGTGAATACAGGTTTAAAGCAAAGCCAGGTTTCAGATCTGAATGCATTTGACATAGCACATTTCTGACTAACAATGAAACATTTTGAGAATGCTCAAAACAAAATGTTTTCCAGATTAGTCCATGAGTTCTTGACCAAACACATTACTCCTCTAATCACAAAACTGGGAAGGAAGGCCAGAGTGCAGATTTGAAAGCCTCTACCAACACTCAGGCTATCTGTCACTGCCCGCTATTGGCCTTTTCCATGGTTTCTTTTTGTACTTAAGATTGTGGTAAAACATATTTTTTCAGCAGTTTTATCATCACTTGTAATAATTCCCAATAAACTGTCTGTATGTTTCCTATCACAATGATACTCATGGCTACTTTCCATTGTTGATGATATTTTGTGCAGTTCATCTACTTATATTCAGAAAATTAAGAATATTTCAGCCTGGCTAGACACTGGTGGCTCATGCCTGTAATCCTAGCTACTCAGGATTTTGCTACTGAGACAGCCCAGATAGATAAATCCAAGAGACTCTTCAATTAACCATCAAAAGGCTGGTGGGAGTGGTGGCTTAAGTGGAACAGAAAGAGAAAGCTAAAATAGCAGAGAAAGCTAAGTGAGAGCAAGAGGCCCTGAGTTCAAGCCCCAGTAAACACACACACACACACACACACACACACACACACGACAGCCTGGATTTATGAAAAGTCGAAGTGAAATAAAATCTTTAATACTGTTGGCCAGTTAGAGGACCCTCTGCTACATTAAACCCTTCTGAGTATCTTTGTGTAGTAGTATATCAAACATTATACTAAAGATACAGGTGAATTCAAAATTCCAACTTTGATCTGTTCTAAAATTATCTACCTTGCTGTAAATGATGTTAGGTTTCAGGAGTCAAGTTTTTTCTGGCCATAGTCTACTTGTACAAGCCAAATGACCTTTCCTTTCTATTTTCCAATAATTATTTAAAACTTCAAACATTCTAAAGCCATTAAATACATTTCTACTTTAGAACTAGTATAGTTCTATTTGCATATCAACTTACAGATGTCTGAAGGTTGACAGTTGGGAAATTACAAACCAAAATTGTTGATATGAATCTGGATCACTGTGGTACTGTATTATTAACCAAATAATCCACAACAAATTCATTAATGATGATGATGATGATAAATGAAGACTAAATTATATGTAAAGAACAAGAATTTCAGCCATTGAAAAGCCTGACATCTCAAACTGTGCTTTTCTTCCACATTGCCAAGATTTCCACTTTTTCACCTAGACTTATTCACCTGGGATGTCACGCACTTAAGTGGCTATTGTACTTTGGGATTAAATCATTTAAAACTCACTCTGTAAAATCTAGGAGTGTCCTCATCTTCTGGTTAAGAATGTGATATTTTCATGGTATGATTCATTCACTCCACAAGACGCCAGTCATTTAAACACTTAGTGTTATGTAAAACTTATAATTACCACTCATTAGTATGCACCAACAAACAAAAAAAATGCCTTGCATTCTGGATCTTGGGTACAGCCCACCAAGGAGGACTCTCATGAAAAACAGTGGCCACAGGCCTCGCCTGCAAGAATCATTTGTGACTCATGGGCTCCTCCTGACAGTCAGTATACATTCAGCACCGTCATGTGGTACTTAACTACAGGGATATGCTCGGGATGACCGGGGTTGCTAGGCACTGTTGTCACTGTATGGCCATCAGAGAGTACGCTCACACAAACTTAGGTAATATTGCTCACCCCCTCAACCTTGGTGTAATCAAGAGATTTGATAAACATGAGAAGTAGCTTTCTTCCCTGACAGGACATCCTGCTTTGGAGGAGTTCTTGTTTGTTTGGTTTGGTCTTGTTGTTTTGTTTTGCTTTTGAGACAAGGTCTTGCTATATGACTGATGTTCCTGTCTCAGCCTCCC